CAGTATGTTGTTTCTGTGCATGATCTGACAGCCAGTCATCCAGCGCATGAACACTTGAAGGTAATTTCTTCTTTTCTAAAATGTGTCCGTGTGTCGGGTTTAGATAGCAGCGCGCAGCTGTCTTGACTAGATCGCTCAGACCTTTTTTCTTCAACCGTGGCACGCTCTGACTCTGACCTTTTTTCTTGAGCTGTTTTTAATGGAGCGTTCCACTTTTTCGCGAGACTCCGTATCTCTGAACATATCAAAGAGTTAAGGTGCTTCGAATACAACTTTCTGACTGTTCATCGTCTGATATTTCATCTCACTTCTCGGTTACGAATCAATTCATTCATAGTGCCAGATTAAAACACGGTATGTGAACTGCTCAGCGAAGTAGCTGTATTCATATTGATAAGAGAGACTATCTCACTATTCTTTCAGCTGCAGTTCTCGTCCATTGTCTTGCTGGCGTGTCACGGAGTGCTACTGTCGTAGCCGCATATTTAATCACTGTCTGCGATCTTTCATTTCTCAGTGCGCTTTCGCTTATAGCGCAAAAACGCCCCATGATCAGTCCCAACTTCGGCTTCCGAATGCAGTTATGTACCTACGCTGACCGGGTGAGTTCCTGAAATAGGCTTCAATAATCTACTATGAATGTATTTTGTTGCATACGTGAAACTTCATTTTGGCATGAGTAAGTAACCTCTGGTTAGTCACTTCTCAGGAAATGTTACTGCTGAAGGAGATCATTCAAGCTTTAGTTGTACTCTGATCAACCGGTAATCTGAATGAACAGAAAGGGATTTATTTCTCTAGATGGTTACTAAAAATATTCATTATCTCTCTTCAACATGTTGACCAATCGCTTCTTTTGCAGCTAAAGGGATATCATGGGTGCGTGTAGCCATTTGGGATGCAGTTAGGTAACTACACCCTCGATATTCTACGATGAGCTAGAAAATACTCATTGAATCGGCACAGCATGAATAGGGAGTCTATCTTCGAGCCCACTTGAATATCTGAGCAAATGACCGGCAGTTCCCAGCTGTCTACTATCAATCTGCAGGCTGTGATCGCTCTAATGGGCTCGACACCCGAGGAGCTCGAGATCTCTAATTGATGAAATTCCATTAATAAGTTAAATGTACTTATTGCACTGTGGTTTGAGGATGCGCAGGGAGTAACTTGAAGATTAGGTTTCCACGCAAAGAAAAATAGTGAATGCATAAAGTCCAATTCAAAGTGTGTGAGCGAGCGAAAAGATTTCAAATTTTTAGTTGGACACATAGGGTGTGGTGCGTTAGGAACGAAATGGTCGCGTCGCGGTGAGAGGGGCGTCGCGCGCGNCAAGAACAAAAGTACTAGTAGTAGAATTATGCATAAAATAATGATCGCATGTCGATTGAGCTGTATGAAGAACGCTAGAGCTGTAATAACGGCGAATGAGTGGTCCACGACTGCCGCGTGCGGCGAACCAATTAACCAAAATCGTTCCTAACGCCCGTCTCCCGGACACATAAGATATCGGGATATATCACTTGAAGCGAATTTTTTGTCCGCTCGCTGTCTTCTATTAGTTGGACTACTACCTGTTTTTTTGTGATTTACCCTAGAATAAAGTGGATTCAATGCCAATTTGTGGTATTGTAAAAAAGGCCTTCACAGCGCTATTACTGTAGGGTCCCTTCTCCGATATCGAGTCCTCAGTACGTTCTACTTATGCAAAAGCCGCCGTTGAATGCAGAGGAACGAAGTACTCCAAATTTCTTCAGATCATTATTATTCAATGCGTTCTATTACTTGTGTACAAACCTTCTTTTCGAGTTACCAGATGCGATCTCCCCTACCTTTCATTTTTTTCCACACGTTTGGTTGCGGATGTGCGCTGCCATCACTGATCGGCCGTTCAAAGTACTTCGAAATCTTATATTCGGGAACCTTTTTGGAGTTTTTATCGATTCATTGTGTTAGTTTTGAAGCATGCTGCGAATGAACGACAACGACTTCGAGAGCTTTTTGGAGCGTCGGCATTCGACGCGCAATGGGCAGCTGATCGGGCAATAACTCGCTCCAAGGTTGGTCGTTCCTGCTGTGCCGTTATTTGGTAAGTGTGTTGTGTGTCTGACGTTCGTTTTTGCTTTTCTATGTTTCCCGTCAATCACGGAACTATGTAGCGTTTCTGCTTCTATGTAAGGAGGTCGCGTCTGTGTCAGTCATCGTTTCGCATGGAGCGTATTCGTATTCGTTCGTCTTCACATTTTTGTGACAAAGTGATAGAATCCGAAGGCTGTTCAAACTCATGGTCAAGCTCCTGCTCCTGACAACTTGTTTAAAAATTGAAGACTTTAATGACAACAGTGTTCATTCATTCTATGAGACTTCAGCGACACAGTTCACGATCATTTTGAGGTAACATTTCCAAGGTGTAAAGTGTTGGTGGAGAATAGTGCATCGATGGCGAAGAAGGCGAGTGAATCCGTCGACATCACGAAAAATAGGGCTTTTTTGGAGTGCTGAAAATAGAGATTGTACGAGATCACCATGACGTGGATGGAATACAGGGGGATATTTGGACGAGATTTCAGATGACGGAATTGCTTAATGAACTGACTACATCAAGCCGAAACTGTACTATTGCCATTTACTGTCGCTATGGGTCACGACAAGTTGTTTGCATTCCCTAATGGGATTCCTTGTGATGGTGCAACCTCTACAGTGCTGTTGAAGGGTAACGGAACTTCTCCCCTATCGCGGCATTCTTCCTTGCAGCATGCGGCAGATATCACTGCAATTACCGTACTCACCCCGCCTCCCGCCAATCGATAGGACGCGATATTTTTCCTTGACTGGCTTGCTTTTTCATTGGATTTTATCGTGTTTTCTTCTGTTTCTTTTTAGTTTTCATGTTTATTAGACTTGATTAATTAAAATGACTCCTACTATATAAACGACGATCAAGACCGCATTGGAATTGAAAAGAGCTGCTAGCCAATTCAAATAATTAAAGGACTCCCTGCCTCACAAATTGCGCGCTCCAATCTTCCATCGCAGCCCTGCGATAGGCGGCGGGTGTGGCGTGTGCGACGCCGTGTTAGGGGAGAAGTTCCCGGACCCGCTGTTGAAACACGCCAACGGATACACACGGAACAACCCTTGAGCCTTTATAACGCCCTATCTAAGCCGTTTACCGATCTGGCAGCGTCATTATGATATACGGAGACACCAAAGATTCATCAGAGGGAGATTTCTGAGGAACCTTTCTATCGTGAAGTGTGCATTCGAATTCTCTGCAAAATTTACCCTCGGCGATCGCTCAATTGGATCTTGTCGATATTTATTTTTTTATTAATTAATTATTTATTTTTAATTTTTATTTATTTTATGTTTAATTATTATTTGTTGGAGTTATATTTTCAATAAACCCGAAAACTATATGTAAAAGTAGTTATGGGAAACTACATTGGTCTTTGTAAATTTTATGCGCACGAGGGGTGACAGTAAAAATTGCCAACATTCTTTTCGTGCGGAGCTTCCGTGAAGAAGTCTGGCGGGAGGTCATTGCGCTGGCGGCCCTTCTGGTGCGTTTGTGGTCCAACGCTCATCACAGGATCGCATAGTTCACGGGATCGCATGACGTGTCTACACATCAAGTGTTGTCAGATTCGGCCAACATTCGTTCCACCTGCTCAGTGTTCGGTGTTATAAGTACGATGTCGTCTACAAAGCAGAGATGACGTATGTTCTGGCCGTTGACTTCCACTCCCGTGTTTTCCCCTCCAGTTGACGCTTGATTTTCTCCAGAGCAGAGTTGAAAAGTTTGGGCGAGATTGCTCTGCTGAACTTCTCTCTTCACGTCGACAATGACTTACTTGTAAAACAGTTCCCGGTCCTGAAGTTGTCGTCGAGTTTCCGAAGCATTCTTATATATTGTGTGGGACCACTGGTTGCCCAAAGCTTCGATCACCATTTCTATCTCGATAGTCTCAAAAACCCTCTTCAAATATTCTCGCGATACCTGAGTGAAATTTGTAACAGTTGGATGTGTTCGATTGTACTGTCTCGAAAACGTTCTTGCTTGCATGACTGTCTTTCATTCAATATTCTGCCGATTTGTAGATTACAGACAGCAGGAAGATTGGGCGATAGTTGCCAATATGGTCGTGATCTCCTTTCTTATGCAGCAACACGGCCTTGCTAGTTTTCCTTTACGTGGGTACTTTGCAATACGGCTGGTACCGCGTGAGAAGCCTAGCCAGAACTCTGACGATAATTGGTGGAAGGTTCTTTACGTGTTTTGGTTCAATCTTGTCGGGAGCAGGCGTCGTACAGTTTGTCACCGACGTGAATGCATGTTGAATTTTGGAAGGAGAAGCGAAGAAATGGCATAACTTTCCCACCGAGCTGGTAAATAGATAGGATGCGATGGAGTAAGTAATTTTCGACTCTCAGGATCTCATCGACGCAACTGTTCTGTCAGGACGACGAAGAGAAGTCATCTTGGTTTGGAAGTTGGCGAAGCTCGGAGCGGCTTTGCGAATTACTTTCAGGCTTCGACGGCTTCGACCGTAAGTGTTGCCCTCCGCTCTTTTCAGATCTTCCTTCTACCGAATGCACGCTAGCTTATCAGCTCAGGAATCTTCAAAGAGGGACGTCCCTTATTTACATGCAGACCCTCTGCTTTCCTAGTAGTGCCGTGAAAATGTTTGATGTGCCGGTTGTGTTCTTCATCGATGTCGTCGTTAAGGGAATCTTCCAAGAGACTCGCTAGGAAAGTGGAGTGATCCCAGTTGATAAAAGTCTTGAAATTACGTTCCCTAAACTTCGGAGCTCTCTCTATCCCCGTCTTGAGAAACAGAATCTAGCGCGGAGGAGATGATGGTCCGATCTTGTGCAAAACTTTGGAGCAACAGCGGCGTCGGTCAGGCAAAACTTCCGACTGTAGATTATGTTATCTATTTCATTACGGAGCTGTCGACAAGGTGAATTCCAGCTCCATCGCAAATGGGGGCTTTCGGAACTGAGAGTTACTTGGGTAATGCAAGTCGACACGATGATTCAAGCGGTTTTTTCACTCTGCTCATTCCGAAATGTGAATCCCGTCAAGTGACGCTTAAGCCGTTCTTCTAGGGGCAATCTCGGCCGTGAAATCACCGACGAAGATTTTGAAGAAGTGTGGTTCTCCTTGGAGAGCTGTTTTGGGTCCGTAGAAAACGCTTCCAGTCCTTATTTTGTAGCTGGATGTTGATGCGTGGAAAATGGAGATCGTTGGAGGGGGATTGAGCTTATTTTCTCAATCTGAACGTCCATTCCGGGTTCTCAAGCTGTACGAATAAATATACCCATAGACATGTTCGTATGTCCGAGAACAGTTATACCGCCGACTTTCGCTTGTTCCAAGGAACGTTTCTGTTACTGTCTCAATAAGGCGTGCAGCCGGCGATGCCTTCTCGTCTCGTCAGTCCGAATACGTCGTACTTGATCTTGTGAGCTTACATCATCACATTTTCGATACACCGTTACGTTGCAAGCCTTCGTGCATTTCAAGTACGATCGCCATTTTAGAACTCCGGGCAGCCTGTCATGACCCTTAAAAGCAGGTGGATACCCTCAAGAAGCTTGCCAGCCTCCG